TTTTTTTTTTTTTTGAGAGAACACATGTGAGTGGGGAGGGAGGCGTGAGGAAGAGAGAGATTCTCCAGCAGACTCCCTGTTGAGCAGGGAGCCCCAGGCAGGGCCCCATCCCTGACTTGAGATCGCGACCTGAGCCGAAATTAAGAGTCGGACGCTTCGATTAAGCCGCACAGGTGCCCAAAAAGTATTTTTAGGATTTTAATTTTTCTCTGACTTGGGCCCCCATTGTTAAGGAGCCTTGAAATGAGTGAGGGGACCATGTTAAGTTGTTGACAGACATCCTGAGGGTAGCCTGAAGCCCCTTCCCGGCTGCTGGTCGGAGAGGGACGTGGCCTGGGCGCCCTGCTGCTTACTCTGTTGAGATTCTGAGCTAGCACTTCACCCCTCTGGGCCTCAGTCTCCCTATCTGTAAACTGGGGTCAGTCTTGGGAGCATGCCCCTGGGCTTGTTCCTGGGTGAGCTGTGTTCGGGCTGCTGAGACCCTGACTGGGAAGAGCGGGTCCACTGCCGTGGGGCTCTAGCCACGGAGAATTCTTGTGGAGTGGGTTGTGACAGATGCGGCCTCTTCAGTGAATGGCGCCCACCTAGGGCAGGAAGGTGGAGAGCAGGGCAGCCCTGTGAGCTGGCGCTCCGTTTCCGCATGGCCGGTGCCAGGAGCTGGCCGTCGCTCTCCGACGTGGCATCTGGTCACTTTTATTGTTCTCCCGACTGATGGAACTCAGGGAGCCGACCTACGAGTTCAGGGTCCTTTGTCTAGTCGGCAGGGGAGGCGTTCTGCGTTCACCCCTCACCCTCCAGCCGCGTCTGAGGGGCGGGGGGCGGGTTTTTGCACGCGCCTCACCCAGGATAGGAGCAGTGCACAGACTCATGCCAACTTGATGCGATATTTAAGGCATCGGCTCTGTAGACTGAGATGTCTGCAGCATTCACAAACATTCCTTCCCCTGGGTCTCAGATCCCCGCGGGCCGGCCAGGGCTCAGAAGCCATGTTCTCTGTGGCAGGAGTGTGTGGCCAGCCCTGGCGTGGTCCCATGCATGTTGGCTGGGCACCTGTGGGGTGCCCTCTGAGGCAGCTCTCCAAGGGGCTAGGACCTGGGGTCACCTGGCGTGTGACTCCATCATACCTGGAATGGGCTTCCTGTCAGCAGCTGGACCACACACAGCCGTGCCGGACAGTTCCGACCTGGGTGAGTGACTCGATGCACCATCTCTGCCTCTAGAGTGGAGAGAAGGAGCCCCTGGACCTTGGCGCCCCCATATCAAGTCTGGATGGGCAGCGGGTCATCTTGGAGGAGAAAGAGCCCTCCAGAGGGAAAGGTAAGCCAGGCCCCGAGGCTTCCCCTGGTCCCCCTGACCTGCTGGTGTCCCCTTCTCTCTGCCTCCTGAAAGCCCCCAGCCCTGCTGCCCCAGTGGTCTCATTTAGGGTCTTACAGGGCCAGGCAACCCCCCTGCATGACAGAACTCAGCCCTAGCTGGGCATCTGAGGGGTCCAGCCCGGTCCAGGCCTGTCTGTAGGCCAGAGGCAGTGGGACCAGGAGCATGAGGGCCTCGCTCGGGGATCTGCCCGCCTGCTGACAAGTGGGGGGGTGTCCTCTCAGCTGTAAGAAGGGGCGACAGGCCTCCTCGACACCCCCTCCCCATAGGATTGTGCCGAGGTTCCAGCGCTCCCTGTGTCCAGGGCTTTGGCCAGAGAGTGCTCCCTCCTGGGAGGCCTCACGGTGGTCTGCACAAGGGACATAGGCCGAGCAGTAGATAGGCCGTGGACTGGTGCCGTCAGCGACCCCACTTGTTGCTTGTGTGCGGGGAACCGGGAGGTTTACACAGCCCTTCCCCTCATGCTGCCTCTGCCGTGACCGGCCTGCCCTGGGGACACTGGGGTACCCACAGCCGGTGCCCGACCTCGGGGCCAGCAGCCAGTCCCCCACACTTCACTCCCGACGCTCCTCCTCAGAACACCCAGCCCCCTTCTAGGCGGAGGGCAGTAGGAAGCGTGTCTCCTGGAGAGGGCTTTCTGGAACCTCCTACCCAGTACCCAAGCAAGGAGATAACTCTGCAAGGAGCTGCTCGGTGCCGCTTTGGACGGCTTCTTCCCTTTCCTGGGCTTCCACCCAGCGAGGCTGACTCTGCTCCACAGTGTAGCTGGGCTCACTTATCTCTGCCCCCTTGGAGGCCCTCCATGCTCCAGTTCCTGCTCCTCTCCCGCCTTGTTGCCGAGGAGACATCCTCCCGGGCCCACCCTCGGTTCCAGAGAACGCTGTGCTCTCAGTCTGGGGCCTGGTACCTGGCCACAGTGGAGTGAGTGGCCTGAGCAGGGCGTGGGCCTCCCTCAGGGTCTGGGAAGGTCAGACCTTCTGGCCTGTTTGTGCCCAGGGGAGTGTGACGAGGGTGCTGCAGGCAGGAGCCACTGCAGGCTTGTAAAGCTGGGGACAGGCAGGAGCGCGGTTAGTCCTCTAGTTGATTCCGGGCCAGAGGAGTGGTCTTTGTCCCTCTGGTGCTGGCAGAAGCCAGCCTGCCATCGCGACGTGGGGCAACAGCCGTATTTGAAAACATGTCATAAGTGTGAGACTCTTTGGCTTTCTAAAGAATATTCGTACAAGACAGGACCTGAAACGAGCTTTTCATCCGCCACACCTCCACAAGTCCCCGCATCTGCAGGAGGACCCGCCGTGCCTCCTGCACACGTCTTCACATGATGAGCATTTCCTGCCCCCGAAATGGCGGGTGGGAGAGGGTGGTCTTTGTCCCTTCGTCCTGCACCAGGGGTTTGGCCCATATGTGCGTCTTTAATACAGGATGTCTCGTACCTTGGGCTTCTCTACAGCTCTCTCTCAAAAACAATAGAAATATGATTATATTTGAATGTTCAGGTGGATTTGCAATTCGCTGTAATTATAAACCGTGTTTCATTATGTTTAGTATCCACAGAGAAACAGAAAAGTGCACCAGCCAAACAGAATGTAGCTGTAAATTCCAGTTCCAGAAATCACTCGGCTACGGTAATTGCTCTCTGCCCTTGTCCGCACGGGCCCTTCGCTGCTGGCTGGCACAGCTCGGGCCGGGCCCCTCCCGCTCCTCTGTGCGCCTCCTCTTGTGCCCAGGGGCTGTGCGCTCGGGGCCGGCCCCGCACCCTGCTCCCCGTCTGCTGCCTGGCTCCCCCTGACCGTGGGCTGGCTCTTCCCCTGCGTTGGGGGGGTGGTGCCTCACGCTCATGCTCTTGTTCTTGTGACCTTTATCGCTGTGATTGGTTTTTCCGCAAGGCATGTAAAGTCTGTATTTCGGGGGGTGCTTTTTGTCTCTTAACTGCTGGATTGTGTGTTGTCATGTGTCTGACGTGTAAGCGGAACTTTGACTTTCCTTCTAATGCAGGGAGAGGAGAGAACGCTAGGCAAGTCTAATTCTATTAAAATAAAAGGAGAAAATGGAAAAAATGCTAGGGATCCCCGGCTTTCAAAGAGAGAAGAATCTATTGCAAAGATTGGGAAAAAAAAATATCAGAAAATTAATTTGGACGAAGCAGAGGGTATGTGTGCTTTTTACAACTTCCACGTTTTCTAGTGAATGCGATGTTAGTCTTCCAGGGCCGTCATTAGGACTCCTCTGAGCCATTGACATCAGAAGGACGCCATCCCTGTCACACTGAGCTGAGCATGCCCCTCGCCCCGGGTCAGTCTGGGGCTGCTGTGCCGCTCTTCCCAGTTGTCAGACTGAGCATCGGGCCTCTTAGAGGCCACGGAGTGCCCTTGAGGGGGGCAGCAAGTGGTCCCCAAGGGTCTGCCTGTGCCCTCCCCTCCCCAGCTCCTACAAGGGCTCAGTTAGTGTCAGGGGGTCCGTGTCAGGGTCACCAGTTGGGGGGGGTGAGGAGGCAGCAGCCGGGAGGGCCCTGGACTTGCTGACCTTGCCGGCCAGAGGTCCCGAGGCAGGTCTGTGCCTTAGCCTGCTGGCCGGATGCCCTGCCCTCCCTGGGCCTGCAGGGGAGAGGGAGGGTGGCCTCAGAGACCCAAGGAGAGGTGATCTCTTATGGAAACTTCTTTTTCTTCTGAAAGCTTCTAACGGCAGAATCAAAACTAACAGCTGTTACTGGGACCTGAATTGTGATCCAGGGAATGCTGGCTAGGCCGCGGGACCCACAGCTAGCTCCCCGTGAAGGCCAACCCGAGCCCGTTCACCCCCCTCCTTTGGCCATCGCTGGCCACCGAGGAGGCAGGAGTAAGACACAAGCCTGCTCCCGGCCGAGAGCCACTAAGATTTGAGATTTTAAAGTCCTTGTCATTCTTCAAAGTGTGTCATTTAAATGCTAGAGAAAGGTCAGCTTAGATTCCTTCTACTTTGAACAGTGAACTCCAGTTATAGCTGGTGGTCAGCCCAGGT